CCTAAAATCTAATGAAAATCTGCCAATTCTGGCAATGCTGCGACTCATCTCCACACGCATCTCGGAGCGCCATCTAGTTACCGCATTCAAGAGCTACCAGTCGCTAGTTTTTAGTCCACCCGGTACCTCTCACCATGTAAATAAATTATCTACGACAATAATACTTAGACAAAGTAATCGGAATAAGGGAAAGGATATATTTTGCAATACATTATATAAATTCTTTACCTGCAGCCGGTTATAAATTAATGCATTATGCAAGAAATGAGAATTTGGTGTTACATTTCACGGTTTTAGAAACGAGCTTTTTGCGCTGTTAAATCACTCGCTTAGACGGCTTTTTGTGCCTTGGATTTGTAAACCTGTGGCAAAACGATTTATTTATAAGTAAATGATACAGGGTGTACTGCCGTAGCGTTCGAAAATATCGCATTAAGTATTTTAACACGGTTATTTATAGCAGTTTTAGGTCAGGAGACGCTTTCAATTCAAGTGAACTATCTGACTCGGAGTCACTTGGGTTAGTTGAATGGAAAGTGGTTAATAGTTTTAACCTCAAAATGTATGTAGTTTTAGTGTTGCATTTAAACAGGTGCGACTGTTTATATGCTTTTATTAGTGCCCACTACTATGTACCCTAACTAGTTTTTTTATTCTATTTATTTTTATAACCTGTTTATTTTGCCGTTTTTGGTTCATCTTCCTTTATACATTTTGTTTCGCCTGCTTGTTTGTGAGCATTTAAGACTTAACAGATAAGTGAAATAAACAAAATAAATCGTTCAGTTTACCGAGCGAGCACCTGCCAATTACCTCGACAGGGTGTGCTTAAACCAGTTTTTCCTCATGAAAAAAATAAATTACTATTACAGAAAGAGTCAGACGTCGTTAAAGGATACGACAGGTTTAAAAATAGCCTTTTATCAACAACGGCAAGCAAGACTTGCCTTTTGATCTTGTTACCAACACTAAGGAATTATTTTTTGTAAGGTAAGGAGCAAAAAGTTAATTTGCGTTAAATCTATTGTTTTTCTGTGACGGAAATAATCTACATCTTTTAATATTAAAACTACAATTCTTGGAATACAATAGTTTTTGGTTTTTCCTATCAAATTAATTGGAAATATCAAACGGAAACGATATTTTAACACAATCCTTTTAAATAATTGCTACTTTATTGTTATTTGGATAAATACCAAAGGTAGTGCACAAACTTGAAGGGAATCTTCCTTTGGTAAAAATAAGAATGAGCGATAACAATGTTAAACTGTGTTTATAGATTTTTTTTGTGTATAATGAAACTTTATTTGGAATTAGTCTTATACAGGGTGATTCAAGACTCCCCTAAAAATTCACCAAAGGATACGAGGTTTCATTTTTGATCGCCATTTGTGAATCACCCTGTATATAACTCTTATCTAGATTTAGTTATTTCTTAAACTGTGAGTTTTGTTGTAAAAAAAGAGAAAAAGTAATTACTATTATGCACCTTAGTCTAAAATGTAAGAAAATCTAAAAATATTTATTTTCGAAAACATTCAGAGGTATTTAAAAAAATCACAAGCGTAGAAGTTCTTAATTAAAACATTAAACTTACCAAATTTCTATGAACCTTTCGCTTATTTTTCAAAAACTCTTAATTGATTCAACAAAATTCCAAAGCAGCAAACTTTAAACCTGTTTCTTTTTACAAAACGGCTGTTTTCAGCGACAAATATTAAGAGTACGTTTTGTACGCAAAATTGAATGGAGACAGGTATGTCTAGTCAAAAATGACATACAATGCGACACAAAATGGTTATTTAAATCCAGATACAATACTGTATATAGCACTCTCTAACATTAAACAAAAAACTAAGTAAATATTTGAGTTTCTCATCATCAATACATCCAGTTTCTCGAATTTTGTCAAACTGCCATGTTACTGAACCAAAATATAAAGAAAATACCAAACAACAAATTTTTTTTGGACGCTCTGTATCGCAAGAACCAAACCGTTGCGGACCTATGTGGATATGAACTTTTTATCTTAAAATTAGTCAAAGATCCACCCTTTAAAGTTTGTACAAGTGCTTAATAAACACCTTGTATATTGAAAATTTAAAATAATAACATTTTACTTGACAAAAGTCATCTTCTTGTTAAAGCTTCAATTTTAAGATTAATGCTATGTGGAAACAGATAAAAATAATTAATAATTTGCTGTATTATGATCCATTTTGAACTCAGGATGAAATATTTTGTCCACTCACGACATTTTCACTTCTGCAAAAATGGTGAATTTCAAACAAACGTTTATAAAACACTTTTTTGCATATTACTTCCCATTGGGTCGTGCCATATAAATGTTAAAATCAAATACTATTAGGAATTCTTGTACCAGTTGGATTCTCACTAAAAAATTCTAGGAGCTACAAATCTGGCAATCTAGAAGGCTACTCTATTGCATATAAAGCGACCATTCAACACCTTACCTAAATATACTGTACAAAGAAGGAAAACAAGTGAAGGAATTGTATCTATAATTAACGCTATTAAGAATATGAAATTATTTATCGTTTTTAATAACAAATCTGTACAATATTAATCGATGCCGCGATCCCAGGTTAAACAAACAACACCGATCGGTGTTAATGACACAGACAGAGTTGTGTCAAAAATTTATGTAATTACAAAGTTTGCCAATCAACTTTGGCTTTCTCGCGCATTACTGAGGCAATCGCCGCTAAGCGTATTTTGTGCTGAACCGGTTTGACATTTGTAGCACTGGCTTGAGGTCTTTGTTGCATTAGGTCAGTGGCTGATGGAAAATCTGTTGCCAAAAAAGGCTATTTATAGATCAAAGCAAATCAGTTGTGACATAGGAATGAGTAACTTGACACAATCTCAGTACAAAGCATGCTTTATCTGGATTAGAAAAAAAAATAGGTACAGATTATGGTATCAGATAGGGTTCCTTGGCCAATCAGAGTGCCACGGCTGTATACAACTTATTCTTTAAGTATATTGATCTCTGAATCCAAAAATCTTGGTCGCAAAGCCTGAAGTGGTCAGTTTAATTGTCATTAACAAATTAAATGTTTAAATAGCTGTAAAAAGTTTATTTTTGTGGCTAGTACACTTTTTTATGCGTTAATAGTTACGTTAGCTGTAAAAATAAACTATATACAGCCATTTAAACATTTAATTTGTTAATAACAAACTGACCACATTCAGGCTTTGTGACCATGTTTTTTTGGATTCAGGAGGTCAAAATACTTTAGAATAAGTTGTTTGCAACCGTGGCACTCTGATTGGCCACGGAACCCTATCTGGCTCCTAGACTATATAAACAATATCGGAAAATTTGACCGAGAAAGTTTCATCGCATATAACGACTACTGGAAACTTTTACGCAGGTAATTAAAATAATAATCGCCAACAAAGAAAGCGGAATAGCGCTGTTTGTATTGTTTATTTTAGAGGAAGATTTCTTTTTTTTACTCAAGAGCCCGAGGACAAAACATTTACATAACAATTAATAATTGTCTAATGCGATAACAATAATTATTACTATGCCGACACATCTTTCACTTCGATATATGACAATAGGAGAAACGGAATTTAAAATTAAAATTTTCTAATAACCTAAAGTAAACAGTATAAATTTATTAAAATCGTTATTTAACTCTCTGTTTCTAAATTAATAAGTGCTAATATTTTCAACTCAATCTCTAAGACAGAATTTAGCAGATTATTGTATTTAAAAATTTCTTTTTTTCAGTGTGGAATCATTTCAGGGCATTTGCATATTCATATGCCATTTATAGTTTATAAAATCAGGAAATGCAAAAAGAAGAATGAATGTTTTATCATGAAAGACAATTATGAGCATAATAGAAATAAATGTTTCTTCCCAGTGATATAGTACTAATCGATAAATTATGTCTATGCAATTAGATGTTGAAAGTTTACGACTTGATTTACCTTTCTACCACATTTGTTTGCCCAACATTAATCCTTTCTAAAATTTATAATGGCCCCAAGTAGGACCCTTGAGGAAGAACTATTTCCTAAAGAAGTATTTCTAGTACCTGATTTTGCATAGAACCTAGAAATTTAATTATAGATCTGCCAGTGTTGGTAAACATAACAGCATCTAACAGGCGAAGGTAGTTCGATTATTATGTTCAACCTGTTTTAAACAACAAATTTATTTTTAAACTATAACGGGTACTAATACATGTCCATATACTAGATATATAACTATATAGATATATTATAGATATACTAGATTATATAACTATTAATAAGATATACATCTTTTTTTATTTGTTTTTAATAAAACTTTAGCTGTTACCACTTCAGTTTTTGCCAAATGATTTTAAACAAGTTGCTTATACGCAGAAAAAAAATGGAAACCGCCAAAACAATTCTAAACAAACTTAACCTTACGAGTATCCTTAGATATTTCAAAGTTATGCTTGTTTATGGACATAAAAAAATTGTGTCATGGATACAACATTTAGAATCGTATCACTAATTAGCTTTCAACAATTTAAAATACACGGCACGCAAGATTGAAATATCTTTACAAAGTTTCTATTATATGGTCTATTTCGCACGATAACTTTTGACCCTAAAAGTTTAGGACACACTCGATTTGTTGAAAATTATTTTTTTCAGTCGATGACCAAGATACAGGGTGACCCAAAAAATATGTTGGCTGACCCATACGCCAGGATTCTGTAAGAAAACCTTTTTATGAGTGTAATAATTTTTCGAAATGCAAGAAAGGCAGGTTTTTTTAATATTGGAAAATGAAGAAGAAACGGAAAATATATTCAGAATAATTTCAAAAATGTGACAATCTAGGCCATATTTTAGTTTTAAATTTAAAAACCTATTTGAATAAAATTCTCTCAAATAAAAATATTTCATTTTCCGTCAAGCTAACGTTTCGGAATTGTCCATCTTCAGTTTCAGACGAAAATGTTAAAATTAGCCTTTGTATAACTCACCATTTTGACGTCGCTATCGAAAAAACGTACACAATATTCACAAGCGTCCCTTTATTTGCTCACACACTGTATACCCGTCGCATAAACTCGAATTCCGTTTGAAGATCGCGCCTGTAAGTCGGATTCATTCACCGCTGGTATCAAACTGCCTCGCCGAAATCGAGTAGCCTATGAATTTCTTCAGTTAAGGCCCCTACCAACGCTCACTTATCTTTGTTCCTCACTCACGGCTGGGATCTAGCAGGCTCTGTCCCACGCCGGCATAAAGCACGGCAAATTCGAAAGTTGATTATCTCCGTCTCGCTCGGTGGCGTATGGCCGGTGTTTCGTCCTTTTCCTTTTGAAGGACTGTGCGATTGCCTTTCTTTTCCTAGTCCTGTGTAAATCGGTACGGCCGCGAGACGCCGATTTTGCCAGTTTTATAACAGCGGTCGATGATTTGTTGTGATCGGGCGCGAAAAAATGAAGATGCAGATGAAGAGTTACGCAAGCCTCGCTTCACGGCTTGCTTAGTTTTTTGCTGACGTTCGAATAGCCTGCTACGACTGAAGCGATTTTTAAATTACAAAAAATTGCGTGGAAAATGAAGAATAGGTATTCGATTTAACAAATACTTTTTGGAATCTAAAGATGACGATATGATGAATACGGGGTGATTTCTAAGTTTGGTAAATCTCGAAAACATATTCGCAGCCTCTATATTCATTCTGCAATAGCAGAAAATCTAGATCTATCCAACCAATTTTCAACAAATTTCCAAGCCTTTCACTTTTTCTCCCGAACCACGTGATTCTGTCTCATATTTCTCTGATTTTATGTTAAATTCCAATCTAATACAGTTAATCCAGAAGCCAACAAGATTCTGGACTAATCAAAGTCCTTGAACACATTGCTAAACTTGATTACGTTATTATAACCACTTCTCTTCAATTTCTTTCAGAAAATACAGCAAGTTCCAATAAAACTATAAAAATATTGATTTATTATATGGTAGTTGGGAAACTAAGTCGAACACTTTGGGCATTCAACTTGAATGATGCGAATGTCATATGGATATTGTTGTTAACACCATCGAAACACATTCAAAATTTAAATAAATGTATAAAAATTGGGAGAAATTTTGGGTTACCTGAAACATAAAAACCAAACACAAAACAAAATTGTGAAAAAAATATAAAAGAACACATACCCAAAACGGTTTTGTTACCCACAAGCTTTTCAAGCCACTTATCTGTTAAACCTAAAAGCTTTAGTCCAAAAAAAATGTACAGTTATGCAATAAGATTGAGTTTTAAAGTAAAGTTCCAACACCTTTGCTTCGGAAGTCCGGTGAATGTAATAAAGAACAGCAGGTCTTTTATCAACTAACTTTTCGAAAGTTTTTACTATGGAGATTATTGCAAATATACACATTAAAAGTTCTCATTGAAATAACTGAATTTTTTTCAAACAATGTTGCCCAACCGGTTTCGATGGTTATGAACGTTTCTTTTGCAAATTATGTCCTTTCTACCATTTGGAAAAAGCTTATGTCACTGCTATTTACAAAAATTATCGCCCACTATGCGTACTGCCAGTTTTATCAGCAAAATCATGGAATTTGTAATACAAGATGAAATTTTCTAATATCATCAAAAGTTATTCCGAACGAACAACATGGTTTTGTATCCAGTCGATCTATAGTGACAGTGTGTTAATGATTGGTCTGTAGCGCTTGATGCTGACCTTCATTGCACAAACTCAAGCACCTTGGTATTAGCGATTGTTATGGTTATTGCTCGCGTTTGCAATCCTTTGTCATCCACACGTCCGGTAATTAGTGGTGTGCCGCAAGGTTCCGTTCTGGGACCTCTCTTACTCTTAGTGTTCGTCTTGGACCTAGTGTTGTGTATAAACTCTAAAGCCTCTTTGATGGCTGACGATACCGAACTATATATAAACCATTTATTACATCGCACAATACTTCAACGAGATTTGAACACAGCACAGTGATGTGAAGATTGGATGTTTCCTCTTAATGTAATGAAATGTCAATTCTCTGCCATGGAAAAAATAATCCAGGCTACCAGTACTCCCCACAAGGAACATAACTAAAAAACTGTAATTTCCTACTATCTTGGTGTTCTACTATCTTGGTGTTAGCAAAGATCTTCGTGTTAACAATGATCTTGGTGTTATAGCAAATTCCAAACTCATTAAATAGGTATATTGTTAAAATACTGCACTAGGTGAAATAGTATAACTTAACATATAACTGCAATATTTAAGACTAATGTGATTACATGTACAGAATTCTTTAATTTAATATTAATATTAGGAGCAATTGCGAAAATCTAAATCACTAAATACACAACTATCTATAAATGATACTGATAGAATTAATTATAGTTACTTTCGGTTTAGATAAATAGTATTCAAACAAAGGGCTATGATTGGAAATCCAGGAGCAGTCTTCTCCTTGCAGGGTGTTTTTCCAAATAAAATGTATTTTAAAACCTGTTCTGTTTCGTCACTACGTAGGTATTCCAGTTAGACATTAAAAATGTAGGTGCCAGTTTTTATAAGGCTGCAAATATATTCCGATCTGTTATTTCAGCAACCGTTTAGGTGGAGTTGACTAATTTTAATCGCATAATTAATTGGATGATAAATTTTAACGATGGCAGTTAATTATATTAAGAAATGAATTTGTTGATTGGTGGATATTTATTTTGAGAGATTTTGAAACGGCTTAAAACAACATTCGTGTAATCAGTTGTGAGAAAAAAACAATTAAATACTAGATGCAGATGATAAGTTAGTTGTTCGTCACTGTCAACATCATCGTCATCATCTTTATCTTTATCACCATCATCATCATCTTCATCATCAGTATTGTTGGTATGATGATCTACCTATGGGCCAATAATCGAACTGAATTTTGACGTCACGAGAACATGGACTTATAACAATCATTGAAGCTGGAAATCAGCTGTAACCTCCGAATTCTTTGAAACTGTATGGATTTGCATGAAAATTTAGAATAAAGCTCATCTTAGGTTCAGGTTCAAAAGTGACATAAGCCCGATTGGCGCTTTTTTTTGGGGTAAAAACAACCCCTAAGTGAAAATAATTGAAAAAATTAAGTTTTAAGCATTTTATTGATAAAAATCTTGTTCAAGCACAAAGATTAAATAATGTTCCATGTTCTCGAACATGTTTTATGATATCTATGATCTTTTCGACCCTTTATTTAACCCTTATAAACTACCCCTATGCAAAAAATAATTATAAAAAATACTTTTTAAAGATTTGGAATGATTAAATCGTGCAAGTATTTAAAATAAAAGTTACCTTATAGCTAATAAAAGAATTTTTCCCTTTCAACCCCTAAAAACCACCGCTGTATTGAAAAAATGATAAAAAATTACTTTTTAAAAACTTGGAATGCTTTAACGGTGCAATTATTTAAAATAAAAATTCCTTCATTGCTTATGAAAGAATTTATATTTCATAACACTTTTCAACCCTTATAAATCACCCCTGGGCTAAAAAAATGATAAAAAAATACTTTTTAATTCTTGGAATGCTATAATTGTGCAATAATTTAAAATAAAAATTCCCTTATATTGTCTATGAAAGAATATTTTACTTTTGCCATTTTCAACTCTTATATACTACCCTTTTACCAATATTAATGTAAAATATTTTATAAATAATCACACTAAATGTTTTAACTTATTTTATTTGTATAGTATAATATACAATATATGTATAGAAAGGAGAAAGCCTATTTTGCTCCGAAAAAATATTATTGGTTTTTTTACCATAACTCGGTGAATTTTAAAACTATAGTATCCTACAAAAAAGCATTTTAAAGATAATTTCAAGAGCTGTAAGATCGTTTGCATATAACACATTTTTAGTCTTTCATTTTTTAAAGGGAAATAAGATCCACTTCTTATTTGTGGAAGAGCGAAATGGGCGTTGACTAAGTAGACGCCTTCATTATAGCCATCCTTGTCTATCACACGGATTTCTATGGCTTACTTTATCGCTCTCACGTAACTTCTGATAGACCATCGGTACTTTCCTACACTGTATACCGGAGTAACCATATCAGTGTATCTATGTACATCATCTACATTGAAAATCATTTAAATGACATGTAACTACTGAAAGAAGAAATATTAAAAAGAATTATAAAGACCCCAAAATAGAAATAGTACCACAAACTCAACGGATAACATGGTTCTGACTAATGTTAAGAATAAAAGGGGTAGTAAAGGATATTATTGAGGAATAATTGATAAAAAAGAAGTACAAGGTGGTAACAACAAATTGTTTGGGAAACTAAAGAAAGATGGTGATTATTTATTAACTATGCGTTCAACAAAATATAATTTACTAGAACAGCGTCCATTGTCAAGTTTTATTAGCATTTCGTCTCGTCTGGCATTATGGAAATTGTAAACACCTGTTTGGATTCTAACGGAGTGACATTAATATTCATGCATTGTTTCAACGAAAAAAATGTATTCAACCTCAACCCCGATAATTGCCTGTTTCTATCGGGAGATTGCGAAACTAGATAAAAACATTGGAACGTTGACCTTGCCCAAGAGAAGAGATATATTAGCCAAAATTGCGGGATTTTTATGAAAATCTCGTCGGAATTCGTCTCCCACATTATTTAAGTGTAATAGATCATAATATCTAGACAATGGACACTTACGAATGATGCCGTAATACCTGGAGTTTACATAGCTGGAATTTTATATTCAAGGAAACACATACCATTAGGTACCCCTAAAAAGTTTACTCCCACTTAAAGTTAGACTCTGTATAATTTCGCGTCGTTACAACAAAGTCCACTTCGCAGTACGGTATGTAAAAAATTCGATTCAAAACCAACGCAACGTATTTAAGGTATTTAGACCATTAAAAATCCTGAAAAAAATTTCACATTCCTTGAGTCGCTGTAAAAATACCTTAAATCTGTAGCAACGATCATACGGCTGTCACGTGTAAGTTATTACAGAAATTCTCGAGAAATATCGCTCACATTTTACTTTTTTTTTCGACTAAGCAAGGCGAACAACTTCGAGCGCTGAAAGAGCCGACAACGACGTGTATGTTGTTAGTTGTTGCCAAGGAAAACAACGAGAACTTAAACGCTGTTTAGCGGCAACATTCGCGGATCAATCATTGGAACGTTTTCGTATAGGAACTGGCGAGGC